CGCATGATAAAGGTGATTTTTACTGGAGTTTTCCAATGGAATAAAAGATGTGACATCTGGTTTTCTGGTTCTCTACCAATTGGGGAACTTTTGAAACCAGAATTTCACAACATTTTGCCGAGTAAATATTCAATTTGGCAACCAATGAGGAGGCCCACGTATCTCTGCCATAGAAGGTAGACAGGTAGGCCTATTGTTACTAGGAGGTTATTATTTATAATTCCTGGGAGAGGGAAATTCACTCTCTGGTCCTAGAACTTATGTAAAATCATTGAATTTTCATTCAGCTCAATCCTACAAACATTACTGAGTGCCTACTATTTGCAGGTGACTGTTAAGTGCTGGGGAGACAGACAAAAAAAAAACAATCTCAGCTCTCAGGAGAAGACCACAAAAGGTAAAGAGAGAATTTGAGGCAAGGAGAGCATTTAGAACTAGAGGATTGGACCCTGAAGGAAACCAAAGATTCTAAGAAGGATAAAGGAGGATGCTTACTGCCCTGGGTTCCAGCTATGAAAGATGAAGCCTTTGCAAAAGCGTGGGAAGCTGAGTGTGAGAAACAGCAGGTGGAAAGTGGAGCCTCTGACAGTAAGGAAAGTAAACCGAGTCTGATTGATAGCTGGTTAGCAAAATAGAGTTTTACCAACTCTGAACCTAAGTAATTCCATCCTGATTTCTACAGGACTGTTTTAATTTTCTGGAAAAAAAAACCAAAAAAAGTATAATAAAGCTTTTGTGGGAAAAACTTCCTATACTCAGTATCCTGTTTAAATGAATTTTTCTTTTTATAGTTAATTACTGTTTCTGTCATCTGTATCCTGTTTTGGCTATGCCATGAGATCACCTGCATCTTGTTAAAGCAGATGTTTCTTGACAATGAGTTTGTTTTGTACTCCTATGTATTCTTATCAACATTTTCTTTGATTTTTTGTTGCTTTTCTGTATTAAAGGAGCCCTGTGGGAAAATTGGGTTGAACTGGTACTCAGAATTTTCTCTTTCTGCTCATCTTCCTTGCATTACAAGTAAAGAATCTATTTACTAATGACTTTATTTTGGCAGCTTTCTTTCAGGAACAAAACATTTATTAAATGCTCACTGGGTGCCAGACACTCTATTAAAAGCTAGGGCTACAGATACAAGCAAGCAAGATGGTCCCTGCCCTGAAGGAGCTTACATTCTAATGGGGCAAAATAACATACAAAGTGTTGTTGGAAGGAGAGGGCATGTAATGGCATGGAATTTGGAGGATGGTCTGGAAAGAGAAGGCAAAAATTCACTTCTTGGTGCCTGGGGACCAGGTCAGATTTTCTGTGGGAAGATGAGGATGATGGCAGGAGAGCAAAAAAGAATGAGTTGAATGGGTATGAAGGGAGGTTGACAAGTACTCAAGTTCAGGAAATCTCGATCCTCTTAACAAGGTGTTATCTGGCGTCCACCTCTACCCTCTCACTACACCTTCCCAGTGAGATTCAATTCTAGACAAAGGCTCACCTCCATCAAGGTTATGTGATTGACATAGATGGTCTTATTTCCCCTAGTTGTCTAGCTCTCCCGATGAGGCTTCTACATGGAAAATCTCACACCTTGAATTATCTTTCTCTTGATTAGCTGATAATAGCCAAAGAACCTAAGCTGGACTTTGAAACAGTGGCTTGCTACACTCTGGTGATCTGTGCCCAGGACAGTGGGCGCAGCTCAGCATCTCAGACCATTTTAATCCAGATCGTAGATGTCAACGAACCACCAACATTCACTGGATCACGTGCTCAAGTTGACCAAGGTATAGGGGGTTATTTATTTTCTAAAATGTGTGAAGGATTCTGTTTATGCATAAGCACGCACCCATATCAAAGACTGATCCCAGGTCAAACGCTGAGATTATCCTGTTTTTGATATCATCTGTACTTTTGCTCTCCTTATTTATAGAAGTGATTTGGATGCCACATTCTCTGCACTTGTGACCCCGGGGGCTATTTATTCAGGATCTAGTCTGTACACATTAGCTTTTCTTGCTTTTCTTCTTTGTGACCAAAGAGACACCTACCCAGTCATCCAGACACTAATATTTATTCCCAGCCAAGACGCTCACTAGCCATAATCTCAAAGGCGTGGTAGGTAGGTTTTCCCCTGAGTGACAGAATCTCAGAGTAGAAAGAGACCACATTGGTAATCCAGTCTAAACCATGCTTGAAAACCCACTACAATGTATTTGATAAGTGGTCATCTAGCCTGGGCTAGTTCTTTTTTAAGAAGTTTTTCTTATAGAAATCTTATACTTTCCCTTTTTTCATTTCATTTATTGTTTCTAGTTCTGCCCTCCAGAGCCAAGTAGAACAAAGCTGATCCGTCTTATACATGACAGCTCTTCAAACGCCTGAAAATAGATCTTATATTCTCCCTATGCCTTCTTTCTCCCATGCTAACCATCCTCAGTTCCTTCAGATGATTTGTATATTTGCCTGATCTCAAAGGCCCATCATTATTGCCTTCTTCTTAGATATTCTCCAGCTCATCTACTTCTTACCTAAATGGTGATGCCCACATTAATAACTAGCATTTATATAGCCCCTTAAGGTTTGCAAAGCACTTTGCAAATATAATCTCATTTTATCCTCATAGCAGCCCGGGGAGGAAGGTATTATTATTATCTCCATTTTACAACTGAGGCAAGCTGCGGTTACATGACTTATCCAGGGTCAAAGCTAGCAAGTGCCCAAGGCTGGATGATTTGAAGTCAAATCTTCCCGACTCCTGGCCCCGCACTCTGTCTTTTTTTGCCAGAATTAAACACCGCCCTTTGAGCATGGGCTCAACCCCAGATAAAAGGATGGCATTTCCCTATTGGTTGTTCTACCTCCAAAGGCCAGTTAAGATTGTCTCAGTTTCTTGGTTGTCAAGTCGCATTTTCCAGTTGCTAGAGAAATAAGCTTGGGAGCAGATTATTATCAGTCTTCAGCTTTTAGCATGGATCACTAGAGAATCGTTTGAGAATTAGACTGTAAATGGGATTAATAATGAAGTGCACCTTTCTCAATATTTTAAAGTGATGAAACTCACTTTCCTCCACTGAAAATGAATTTGAGCTGTCATTTATATGGAACTCCTTTGCAGAATACTTTGCTCTGATTGTACCAACATTGTGAAGTAGGGGGTCAAAGCATTATTATCTTCACTTTATAGTTGAGAAAGGCCTAGAGAGGTTAAGTGACTTACCCAGAGTCACATAGCCAAGGCAGACTTCAAACTGAGTTAGGTCCCCTAATTCCAAGTCTAGCCTTCTTTCCTCTATGCTAGCTGGGCAGGTAGGTGGATAGGGTAGTGGACCTGGATCAGAAAGGTCTGCGTTCATATATGACCTTAGACACATTTATTATCTATAACTGCTGCCTGACTCAGTTTCCTCATCTATAAAAGGGTGATTATAATAATAGCTGCACCTACCTCCCGGGGTTGTTGTAGAGATTAAATGAAATAATATTTGTAAAGTTTTTTTTTTGCCAACATTAGAGCACTATAAATATGCTATTGTTGTTACTACTATTATTCCCTAATTACCTTAGAAAGAAGAACTGAGGAATGAAAGGGAATGATAACTAACTTTTATTTCAGACTTACTGAATGGTTTATAAAGTCCTTCCTTCCTAACACACTGCAAGGCAATACAAGTATTATTATTATTCCTATTTTGCGGGTATTATTGTCCCCATTTTACATATGAGAGAACTGAAGCCTAAAGAGATTAAGTGATTTTCCCATCGTCCCACAAACTGGGGATTCAAACTCTATGTCCAACCCACTTTACCAGGACTGCTTTTCTAAAGATAGAGAAAGCATTCATTAAGTACTTATGATGTGGTGGGCTAAGGCTCGCAATCAAGACAATCCCTATCCCCCAGAAGCTGATGTTCTAATGGAGAAGACAGCACTTAAAGAAGTGCTGAGGATCTGAGGCTAAGGGGCAAAGGGGAAGCAGGAAAGTATCTTAAGTATATGGGAAATACCTAGCTACCCAACAGAGCTCCCAGTGTACCTTACTGCCTTTCTAAAGCAGGAATATGTGTTAAGTACCTAAGAGAGACACAAACTGCTAGGGGAATTCAGGGAAAGGAGTGATTCCCTTTAGCTAGAGAATAATACCTTCAACTTTCACTAAGCTTTGCACTTAATGAAGCAATTTTCCATGCATTATCTTATTTGATTTGTACACAGTGCAGAAAGGCAGGAAAGGTATGTACCATTATCCCTTTTCTACAGATGAAGAAATAGACCCAGGGAAGCATCTAAGGCGTTCAAAGTCAGCCCTAGAACCCTGGTCTTCTGTCTCTTAATCCAAGGGTCTCTCCATTAGATACCACACTAGCTCCCCACCAAATGTCAGCAACGCCTTTAACGTTACCTAAAACGTACTTGGGAGCCATTCTGCTTTTTGAACTTAGAGTAGCTTGTGACACTGGACTCATGCTTGAATATCTTACCTCTCCTGGCAGTTACAGAGATTTATATTGCAGAGGACACTGCTGTAGGCACGAGCCTTGACAGAGTGAGAGCCAAGGACCCGGAGAATGCTGCCTTAAAGGTAATTTATGTTGTTTGGACTAAGAGCCGTGAGACTGGTTTTTCCTATCTGAGGCTATATCCACACAATAAAGCAAAGGTGAAAATCAGTGCCATCATTCTGGCCCATTTAATTACAGGGCATTGTTGAGCCCTGAGCTCTCCGGAAGACTGTCTGAGCTCTGCTGCATTTCATTCTCTGTCTAACAGACACCTCCAAATGATAGTGATGGCTCTTTCTGCAACAAGATCTTAGCCCTTTTTCATTTTGCTCTCTTGTCACCATGGCTGCACACAAACGCTTTTGTTTTCGGACAGAACTAATTATCCCTGTACTACACGGAGACCTTAACTCTGGGTTTTGTAATGGGCCAGATATCTCTATTTTCTCCTCCATCACCCCAACCCGTGCCCCATAAATTAAGACATTAGCAGTCCAGCTACACATTGAATTGTAGGAAAGTGTATTCATATAGTGGATGATGTTACATGGATATAAAATGTTTCTTATTTCCCAGTTGCTTGGACTTGGAATCTCTGAACCATCTCTGACCACTCCCTCTTCTTCATCTTCCATATCCAAGTTCTGTTGATTCTTCTTCTATAGTATGTGTCTCCTGGAGCTCCCCCTTCCATGCTTAGTATTAAAGCCATGGTTCTTCATGAACTTCAGAGCTTCCTCACTTATTTCCTTGCCCCTAGTCTCTCCCTCTTCTATTCCAACCTCCACACCACTGCTGGATTACTTTACCTCATGCACAGGCCTGAACGTATCATTCTACTCCTCAAAAACTTTCAATGGCTCCCTATTTCCTGCTGAATAATTCCATATTTCTTCATCTAGCATTTAAGGTCTTCCTCCGTCTAGGGTCCAGAGGTGTCAAATACACAGCCCCGCCATTTTCCCAAGTGCTCCCCTAACCAAATTGGGAAATGTTTAACAAAATAAATCCAATACAACAAAACAGACAATATTAACATGTGGGTTTCTAAGTCAAACAGTAGCCTGCTGGGATCCTTGTGTATGCTTTAGCTGCTACCATGTCTAGTTGACTTGGATGTCACTGCTCTTCACTCCAGGAAAACTGGACTATTTACTGTTTCATGACTCTATCCCACCCTTTCCTTCCTCTCTACTGGCCCTGATGACCTTCCCAGCGCCGGGAGTGTCCCACTGCTCCCTTCCTCTCAATTTCTCTCTTTTTAATTTTACTTCTTCTTTAAAATAGAAATCAAAAGTCACTTCCTTCCTGAAGCCTGCCCTGATCTCGCCTGCCAGCTGGAGGAAGGAAGGCATATCTCCTTCCTCAGAATTTTCACTTTGTATGGAGTGGCAATGCATGATGTATTCATGTACACATGTTTACATTTATACAAGTGTATACATGTATGACGTGTACATCTATAATGTTCTATTTTACCATTTAGTTTACTTGTCTCATGTTCTCTATGAGATTATAAGCTCCTAGCAGGCAGAGGCAATGTTTTCTTTATCTTTGAATCATTCATGGTGTCCAGTCCATTGAGATAAGGATTGCATCTGTGATGTGTATAGGGTGTAGTCAATTAACATTTATTAAATGCCTACTTTGTGCCAAGGACTGTGCTAAGTTCTGGAGATAGAAAAAGAGGCAAAAGGCTGTCCCTGTTCTCAAGTAGCTTACAGTCCAATGGAAGAGACAAGCACACAAATAAGTGTAAACAGGCAGAACAGACAAAGAAACTTCCTCTACCAATGAAGGTCACCACTTTCTCTGTGACTTCTGGTCTTAGGGAGCTGCCCAGAGCATTGAGAAGTTAAGTGACTTGCCTAGGGTCACTCAACCAGTAAACGAGAGGTAAGAGGCAGGACCTAGGCCCAGGTTGAGTTCCTCATTTTGAGGCTAGTTCTCTAGCTACTTCTTGTCTAGCTTTTAGTAGGCACAGATGGAATGTTTGTTGAATAAATGAATGAATGATGTGATTTTCTTTTACCTGGTAGAGGGAGAGAACAGAATATCACATCACTTTGTTAGCATTTGCTGTGATTGTTCATCACAACAAGAACAATAAACATTTATCAAGCTTGGTATTTACTTCTGTCTTCCTTTGCTGCTGTTCAGTCATTTTTTTTCTGTTGTGTTAGATTGTTTGTGATCTCATTTGGGGTTTTCTTGTAAGCTCTGAGGCTGGATTTGAACTCCTAAAGACAAATCTTCCTGACTCCAGGCCTCTCACTTGATCCACTGCACCATTTAACTGGCCCTTGTTACCATTTATCTCGTGCTGTTTTCCCTAAACCGAGGAATAAATACAGAAATTGTCTGTGTAGTCATATTATTGCCAAAGCCAGTATTAGGCTAATGGGAATTCATAGTTTCCCAGCAGTTGTACTGGAGATATACATACATATATTCAGAATCCATGTTTTCCTCCAGAGACAGCCAATGACATTAGAAGCCTCATCAATGCTGTTTTTTTTTTTTTTTAAAGAGCATTGAATGAACTCTAGTAATTACATAAGAAACGGCAGCATTTTGTCAGGCTCCCACACACAGTCTTTTCGCCCTCCTCCTCGTAAGTCAACAACACCCTATCTAAGAGAGAATTGGAAAGGTCACAGCTTCCTTTACAACATATAATTAAGTCGCCTAATCATGCATCTTGCACCAAATCAGCACGTACGAGATAATAGTTTTGAACTCACCACCAGGCAGATCTACGTGAGTGCAAATCAGATGTCACATTTCAACTGCTCTTCTAGTGTTCTTCCTTGAGAATTATCTACTCCCTTGCCCTTTTCTCAAGGGAAAACTACATCATAGCCAAATAGGTAAACTTGTAATAGAGCATGCAGTCACAATGGTTTGCTAGTCAATTAGTGGCCCCAACTCATTCTAGATGAAGGCCACCCTGTGCTTTCTCAGACTGACTCAGTACTGCTGGTCGGAGCCCCTATATTTTACTCAAGTGGGTTGGCTTATGAGCCCATAGATAGGAAGACTTACCCATCAAAATGTTCCTTAAAATTTTCACTCAGTGAGGAATGATTTCAGCAGTGACGAGAGCTATATGGAAGCCTGTATTTAAGCACCCCTCAATACATCTAACCTAATTTTGTGATTCAGAAACTTATCGTGGTTTCTTAGTAATGATTTTCTTCTCTTTAGGCCTTCATTTACTTTCTCTAATTAGCTGGTTCCAGTTTTGACCAATAACTTAGTCATGAAGGGCGTTGGGGTATATAGCTTTGAAAGCCCTTGGAATCAGGAGCAGAGCTTAACTAGTTATAACTAGTGAAAGATGTAACAGTTTTGGTACCTGGGGCAAATAGCCTTCATATCAATTTTTTTAAATATACATTCCATTACAGGAGGGACTCTAGGACACAAGGCTGATGGGTAGAGAAACCCTGAGACAATGTACTATAAAGAGCAAGACAGAGACCCTAGGACACTGGCCTATATCAGGGAATCCTGGGATACAGTGAGGGTGCAGCTGGGAAGTAGGGGTTGATAGCAGAGTAAGCTAGACCGGAAGAGAAACTCCCCTGGGGTCTAAGCCACCATTGGACTGAAGTGAGGGCATGAAGTGGTAGAATCATCTGGTAGATTCAGATTTAACCATTTCTTGCTAATCTCAGTCATTTCTGTATCACTGAAAATTTTAATTGTTGTCAGCCTTCCAGAGTTTAGTGCCCTGGGACGAAGGTACGGCTGCCAGACCTTAGTTGTGACTTTGGCAAGGACATTTGGGTTTGAGCGCAGGGTCTCCTGCTTATTAGTCATGTGTTTATGCAATTCACCTCACTTCCTTTTATGCCTTAGGGATGCTTGGATCATGAGATCTCATCTGTTGTTTTTCAAAATTGTGCTATTTTGCCTTAAACTGGTAAAAAAAAATAGACTTTGTCATTATAGTAAAAACAAACAAACAAACAAAAACCAAACAAACTTTGTCCATGTGGTCGCATTATTACCAAAATGTGTGAAATCTTGGGTCTTCAGAGTTTTCCAATAATAGTGATGGATCCTTATTCAGGACAATTAAAACATGTTTGCCTTAAACAACAGAGATGACTATTGACACCTGAGACATCGTTCATGTTATTTCCTTTTTTAAATAGCGAATGAGCTCCCGTAATTACATCAATAGATCGGTACTGTGGTTGTGCTCCTCAATCCAATTCAACAATGATCTGTTAAGTGACTAGTGTGTGTCAGGCACTGGACTAGGTTCTGGCTGTACAAAGATAAATACGGAAATTCTCGACCTCAGAGAGCTTACATTTTCCTGGGGGAGGATAATGGAGAATAACTGCTCTTAGGTGAGTCCCTAGCACATAGTAGGTGCTTGACAAATGCTAGTTGACCGATACAGATAAGTAAATATAAGATATCTGCAAAATAAATACAAATTAATTTCAAGGTGGTGGTGGGGGGACACTTACAGTTTGGGATTAGGAGGGGGTAGCACTGAGGATCACAGATCTAAAGCTGGCAGGGACTTCAGACGTCTTCTAGTCCAAGTATTTGAGACTCCTGGGCTTCACCTTGAAGGGAGCTAGGGATGCTGAGGTCATAGGTGAAATGACAGCTCCTACTACTTAGGACCCCAGGTCTAGAGCTAGAAGGGGCTGGTTAATTCAATTCCCTCATTTCACTGCTGAAGAGCCCTAAACCTAATGATTCGTCCCAATTCATATGTGGAGTAGCATTTGAAGTCCTGAGCCTTGAAGGGAGTTTGGGATGCTAAGAGATAGATGTGAGCAGAGAACATTTTAGGAATGGGACACAGCCTGGCCAAAGACATGGAGGCAGGAGATGTCATTTCACCTATGGAAGAAAACAGCTAGGCTTGGAACATAAAGGTGTGAGGGGGAGTAAGGGGAAATGAGTGTGGAAAAAGTAAACTGGAATCAGACTGTGAAGGTTTTTAAATGCCAAACAGAGGAGTTTGTCATCCTCAAGTATTCTCAGTTAACAAGCTCTTATTAAGACAGGCATTCTGCTCAGTGCTGGTCCAAACAGAGGCCTTATCCTC